AATTCTAAACCTCGAGATTTTATTTCATCTTATATCAACAAGATATCGTAGACAGTACTATATCTTCACGCTCTCTTCGAGGTATGGGATGAAATACCGAGGTCCCATATTTATGTTCGTGTAGCAGGGTTCTATTCAAAAAGGAACAATACACCAGATCAAGGATTCAGGATTTTATTGTGGATCGGCGATTAAGCATACAGATAAACCAAAAACTCTGAAAGACATAAAGAAATGTATTGGCCAATCACGCTATTTTACCGAGATTTCGCCTAATAGTTTAGATGCAGCTATGGCGGGTGCGGCGCCAGGCAGGGTAAGCTTACTCTTCCGGACACCTGTTACCACTGTTTGTCGTGTATTTTGTGTATTATGCTGATTACACTATTTTGCTTTATTACACTATTTTGTCTATACCGTTTTTTTAGGACTTCGAATTTTGCCTAATGGTTTGGATTGTTCGTACTTGGTTTTATTTTATTTTTATAAAAATCAAGAATAGTAATAGTTTACACTATATACATATATTTAAAATATTGGCGGGAAATCATTGATTTGAAACAAAGCAATGTATAAAATGGCGACTTGGTTTGCAGATAATTCAATAATATATACATACAAATACATACCCTATTAAATAGGAGTTTATACTATTACTGAATGTTTCCAAGAGCTTTACCATATACATGTAAAATACAGGACAAGTGACAGAATGTGACCCTTCCTGTAACAATGTTAAGGTGCAAGTCCAAATTGAAAGAGAAGCTGAGATGCGGTTATTTTATAATCTGTTTCATAGAGAATTACGAGTCTAGTAGTAATATCTCTGTCAAAGATGACTGCCATAACACGTGCCGTCACAGCACGCGGCGTCAATCATTGGCTGAATGGCGCGTGCATTGTTTACATAAGACGTTACTGCTTCGGGCGGAATGCTGCCTTTTAGTGATTTTAATACTTATTTACACTAAATAAAAAATAATTTTTACCTACAAATACGTCAAACGCCTTTATTTATTTTTCCAATACATAAAAAAAAATGTTTTAGAATTTAATTTGTCGCAGGAAAAAATTTAATATTTCTGGCTCATTAAGTCGCATCGATGTCATCCTTATCAGTGATTGTAGCGGCCTAGCGAAAATTCACTGCTGATCAGTGTGGTTATTTTAGGGAGTTAAACGTGAGTCGAGTTAAGACTTGCTATTATAAATTTGATGGAACCCCAGATCCCCAGGTTAGTAAGTCACGTTCATTCCCACCAAAGCATAGAAATGGTTTCACTACGTACAGTAGTAGATAGTTCTAAGGACTTCCTTTGAACATGTTTAGTAATCACACAGTTTAATTCATGATTAACAAATCCATAAAAGTTGAACCTAAGTGCATAATTCTGTGATTTTGAAGAATCCAACTTCTACCTCTTGTAGTACCATAGGCCTTTCTGCCAGACGTGGAGAGCGGACCACAAAAAAAAACGGTCGCCACATCCTACGTATATATGACCAATGCATCTTTTCTTAATACAGATCTTAGTAGCCTTGTGGTTGTCTAGTATTTTCACTTGTCGTCCGCCCCCCCCCTTCACGTTGTGTATTCTCGTCTCCTTATCTAAATAGTTAAGATGTTTGTCTTCTCAGTAGTTAAGACGTTTGTCTTACCAGGAATAACAATGCAACAGTTCGTTTTTACATTTTATATATCATAGCTGGATACATAGATACAAGCGTAATACATTACAGTACTAAAGTCATTCTCAAACAATAGCCAGCCAAAGACATTAATTAATAAAATATAATGCCACCATTAATTATAAGAGCAAAAACTCTAGCAATATTGCTACATTCTACGTGGTAGCGTCATAGCCACTTGTGTTGACAATTGTAATGGTTCATTGCTTGTGATAAAAACATTTATTTTAATGCAAATGCTGATGATATGTGTTGAAATTCTTTCGCTTGGGACTATTTACTTGCACAGAGCTTCAGTGAATGACCACCGCGTCTCCGCAACTAACCAAAGCACAATACAGTAAATATAAATCAGATTCGTAGAAGTGGTCGAGTCCCTTTAATTACCCATTACCCTTTTTTCTGACACTGTCAACGAACATGTGGTATTTTAATGCATCCGTAATGGGTTCGGTCGATCGAATGTGCAGCATCGTGATTTAAGAACCAAAAATGGCCCAACGTGTCACCAGTGTTAATACACGAGGATCATTTGTATTCAGTATCAACTCCAACATGTTACAGAGATAGAGTATTTATAGATTGACACCAAATGTCAACAAATTAAGCTTCCAGTGTTTAAAGGGTCATTCCCTAGCTTTTTGTCGTCGATCAAAGATCTCTCATGTTAGAGTTAAAATACAGATATGACGTGTCAGTCGTGAACTACGAGACTCGCGTGACGATTGCATTTAAATGCACGTAGGCGACATGATACTGTCTGTATTTTTTAAAATGAGTTGTTTAATGGCCTCGAGCAAGAGAATGCGTAATATATTGAATAATATAATATATTACAATAACAATATATTACCCAATGTCTCGCCCTCGACCAACGGGCCTCAGATTTACCTGGCCACAGAATAATAAAACATTCGCGGCAGGCAAATAATTAATCTACTACCGACATTCTCAACTTTATAGTCTACTGTTGTTGTTGTTTCTTAAAGATTTAATGTCCAATACAATGAATATGATATTATGGACAGGTTGATTTGATTAAATTATTTACACTTGAAAATTGTTAAAAACACAAAATAAAAAGGTCCTCGGATACCAAAAGTTTCTTAAAGCACACTTATAAATTCGCTGTCGTGAGAAGAGAGGGCGGGTCGTCTTATCTCTTTGTCATACTAAGATTAACACAGGAGGTCCAACTGACTGATGTTTGGCGTCATCAGAGCGAATAGAAAAAAAACCCGTTGGGAAAAAAGAATCCGCTGGCTTTATGTGGAAAAGCGAAGTGCTCGCAGTAAAAACCACATAGCTTGACCCGTACATTATTTACGTATAAAAAGTGTTCGTCCAATAAGTTCCATGTTGTTAAAAATAGTCTGCACATATTGGTTTATTTATATCGGTCAACGTAAGAACATGAGCGACATTCAATTGGTGTATATCAAATGGAGTGGCATTTGATTGGTTCAAATCAAACGGCGTGGTATGTCGGTGGTTTAAATCCAATTAAGTTGCATTTGATTGGTTTAAATTTATTAGAGTGGCATTAGGTTGGTCTAAATCAAATTCAAATTGAGTGTTATTTGATTGGTGTACATCATATTGAGTGGAATTTGATTGGTTTATATTAAATTTAGCGGAATTTGATTGGTTTATATCCACCATGGGCGGCATATGGTTGGGTTATAACAAATTTGGTTTTTGAACTAGCAATTGTTTTCCTCTTAGGGTGACTCTCTTCAAGAAATGCCCAAGGCTCTGCAGTCAAGTGGATCGACACCAAAGTTGACATGCGTGTTTGTTGGACAACTGCACAATGCCTGACAGAAATTCTAGATGATGTCATGAATGATACTGGTCGGTTCCTGATTCATAGTGTTGAATCATATTCTACTTGTTTGATAGTGTACGTTGGTTTTTGTTTTTGTTTTTTTGTTGTTTTGTTTTGTTTTGTTGTTTCTGATTTATTGGTAACACGGGAGATTAGTTACATAAATCTATTCTCTATTCAATTTCAAAATCCGAGGACATTTTGAAAGTATTATCTGTTCTAAATTAAATTCTTGTCAACGCGTGCTTATGAGTTATGATGTATTTTAGCTTTAAATTAGATTTACGATGAATATAATTTAGTTTGGAAAGGACACAGCCACCATTTCTCAGATTAAATTCACTTATCGCTATGTGTACACAACAAATTTGTAATGGAACACCTAAAAAAGACTATATAAAAGTAATATAAGTTATTGTCACAGACAAAAAATATATTCTTTATATTTAATTCGAGAGAGAGAGAGAGAGAGAGAGAGAGAGAGAGATGTAATGAAACGAAATGGGGTTTAACGTCCTACTGTTCTGCTCCGACTGGACTAATGAAGACGGGAGAGAGAGAGAGAGACGGGAGAGCGAGAGAAAGTTTTGTTAAAGGGATAGGGAGATAGACATAGAGAGAGGAAGAATGAGGTTTACTAACAAACTCAGGATAAAAACCACACCGCTTGACTCAATGATAGACACTTTGATATAAAGCGTATGCATTGGACCAAGCGAATCCCCCACCAACACCTAAACAAGAGGTGGAATTGGGTTGAACGTCGCCCCAACACAATAAACAGAAACGTGAGAATTGGTCCCCAAGCCCTAGAGAGAGAGAGAGAGAGAGAGAGAGAGAGAGAGAGATGGGGTTTAACGTCCACTCGACACAGACTAGGTCATTTTGGGTACTAACATATGGTTTAATTTTATTTCAATAATTCGCTTGCGCGTATGGGTCTTTAGCAGTGGGAGGAAACCGGAACAACCGGAGAAAACCAACGAAGTTGGACAGGTAATCCTACTCCTTGCCACGTACAACCGGGGATTCGAAACCACCCAATCTCATTTGTTCACCAATTTTATTAAGCATGATCGACCCAGACTAGGTCATTTCGGGACTAACATATGGTTTAATTTTATTTCAATAATTCGCTTGCGCGTATGGGTCTTTAGCCGTGGGAGGAAACCGGAGCACCGGGAGAAAACCCACGAGGTTGGACAGGTAACCCTACTCCTTGCCACGTACAACCGGGGATTCGAAACCCCCCATGCTCTAATCTCATTTGTTCACCAATTTTAATAAGCATGATCGACATAACACTTGGGGCAGGCTTGTTCCTTTGACAATTCTGCATCGATTGGCGCATTACAATTTTTGATATGACGTCACAATTCCAAAATGGCTGTAATGACGCCACGACCTGTTCCTGGTTCATGGTACCCAATACTTGTTTCAATATTTTCTTGTTACCTACATAAATTTTTTATTGATATTTCAGGAATCACAATGGAAGCTATACGTGTATTAACTTGGGCGGAGTTTAAAGCCTCGCCGGGGCGTTTACATAGATTTTTCTCTGAAGTGAGTGGCTGTATTCAGTTTGATCGACAGCTCGTTCTTGACCTCTCGGATCTGACCCCTGATAAGGATATCAGGGTCCAAGTGCAAAAGTAAGTAATTTTGACAAAAGTACCAATCAGGGACCTGTTTCACGAAATTTTAACTAAGATAAAATCCAAATTTTAGTAATTTGATTGGATAATATTAGATTGATTTTAGTGCTTAGCCAATCAAAACTGAAGTATCTACTAAAATTTGGATTTTATTTTTAGTTAAGATTTCGTGAAACAGGGCCCTGTTTCTTAAAGATAACCCATGAAAACTATGTTTGTAAACCGACTCAGCTTATGAAGACGGGCATGCGTCATATAGTATGTTATTGGGGAATTTTGCCCGGATAGCGGCACTACGGCCTACTTTTATCTCAAATTCCAACTGCCAACGGTTATTTTAAAAATTGTCTAAGATGCAAAACGATCGAATTTTAACCGCCAACAAATTTAAAGAAACCTAATGGAAGTACAACAGCCATCTTGGAATTGTAACGTTATATACAAATTCAATATTCGATGCGCAATTGTCCAAGGAAAAATAATGCCACGTTTCATGTCGATCGTACATTAATTGATGGAACCTAAGGTTTTTGTTTTTCAAAGAGCGTCGTCCCCAAGAAAAACGACAACAAAACGAAATGAAATGGGGTTTAACGTCCTACTGTTCTGCTCCGACTAGACTAATGAAGACGGACATACGTCATACAGTGTACTATGGGAGAAATTGTGCCCGGACAGCGGCGCTAAACCCTACTCTTATATCGAATTCCAATTTTATGTGTACACGGGACCTCGGGTTTTCGTTCCACCCGAAGGACTAGACAGTCCTCCTTGTCGGGAACGATATCGATTTATACTGGAAGCTTTAAATACTTGGATACATTGGGATTTAAACATTAATTACAATGTCGTTCATTCATTTGCTAAAAAAATACCACAACCATTCATTTAACGAGGGCATTACGGCAAGGCATTACAGTCACGTTGTGTTTATTCTGCTAACAAAGGTCTTTACATTGAGTAATTTTCAAGCTCGAAATTTCACAATTTACCTACCATTTGAGAGTGATAACAATTCAACCAATACAGGAATTGACATTTAGACAGAATTGACTCTCTGCCATCGCCTCGCGTTTTTATAACTTGAAATGATTCTAAACTTCTAATGAATAGTGTTAAACAAATCAAAGTAAGTTATAAACGTTTATTAAAATAAATGACAGCCGTGTGTTTTAATGTAGGCTAAGTAGGGTTTGTTATTGACGAAAGCAGTAATTACTCCTGAGCATCGTGGTTTTTGACGATATTATGCCCTTAAAGCTACAATGTGTGTTATTTATCACGTGTGTATGGGTCATTAGCTTTAATTTTTCACACAACTGATTTTTGCGATATTAACCGGAACCTTAGGGCTGTTTTTGTGCGACATTAGTCAACTTTAAAAGTCTGTGACCGGCATTTGCATTTATCAGAAGATATCCAATTTCCTACGGCTTAATCCATGCTAAATCGTACCCAAATTGACTATTTAACATTTAATTAAGAAAACAAAATGAAAATATCAACGATAGATTGATTATCACCCAACTAGGATTGACAAGAGGCCTATCAAACGAGAGAGAGAGAGAGAGAGAGAGAGAGAGAGAGAGGGGAGAGAGGAATGGGTTTAACGTCCACTCGACACAAACTAGGTCATTTCGGGACTAGCATATGGTTTTAATTTTATTTCAATAATTCGCTTGCGCGTTGGGGTCTTTAGCAGTGGGAGGAAACCGGAGGACCCGGAGAAAACCCACGAAGTTGGACAGGTAACCCTACTCCTTGTCACGGACAACCGGGGATTCGAAACCACCCAAGCTCTAATCTGATTTATTCACCAATTTTAATAAGCATGATCGACACAGACTCGGTCATTTCGGGACTAACATATGGTTTAATTTTATTTCAATAATTCGCTTGCGCGGATGGGTCTTTAGCAGTGGGAGGAAACCGGAGGACCCGGAGAAAACCCACGAGGTTGGACAGGCGACCCTACTCCTTGTCACGTACAACCAGGGATTCGAAACCACGCCAGTCGACTCAATAACAGATTTTATGATACAGCGCGCACGCTAACCATTCAGCCATCTACCCCCCCCCCCCATCAAAGGATTATAGCCAAGATTATAAGTGATGCAGGATTTTGACCATATCGTTTGTAGAGGTTGTCGATTTCAATTTGTAAAAACTAAACAAAATTGGACCATTTTTGATACTGACAACGCTTTTAAAGATCCATCTTGTACAATATCGTATTTTTCAAGGGCTTCCTCAATCTCTAAAATGAGAATCACAGACTTGAAGCGAAGAAAGACTTAATAATAAAAACCTCGAATCACCGAATTTTCCATGAAGTTCTCTGATATATCCTTCTCCTCCCCAAAGCCTAGTATACTAATTCTCGATATTAAATGTTTAGCGCGTGCGCGTTGTATCATAAGGTCTGTCATTGAGTCAACTGGCGTGGTTTCGATTCCCCGGTTGTACGTTGTAGGGTCGCCTGTCCAACCTCGTGGGTTTTCTTCGAATCCTCCGGTCTCCTCCCACTGTTAAAGACCCCTGCGCACAAGAGAATTATTGAAATAAGCTTGAACCATATGTTAGTCCCGAAATGATCTAGTTTGTGTCGATTGGACGTTTGAACCCCATCTCTCTCTCCGAGTAAAATTACCCTCATAGCAAATCGTCATTAGCCTGGATGGTGTACACAAGAAGGACGTTCAAATCTTTTTTTTATTTCCCATTGATCCGCGATTCGCCGAAACAAATCGATCGCACTAACATGTATGTTGTCTATAAGTCATTTCTGTTGGGAGCTTGGGGATCTTGCCTCGACAAAAACAGTTTTTGATTTGAATCTCAAAGCGTTGAAACTCTTTTACAGATACATTATAGTTGTATTAATCATGGAATCTATAACTGGGGGAAAAACAAAATAGCTTGATTTTCAGAAACAAATTTCCTAAATTATTCTTTACACGTTAAGCCACTTTCATTAATGAAATTTAGAATGTCGTTAAGTCGCAGTTTCGTATTAATAAATATCAGAATATAATTGAGCCCTAGTTATGTATTCCCACGGCATCCGTCACACAAAAATACTCTTTATTAATTGAGTTAAAGAATCACAGCTTCGTTAGAATTCAGTTCAGTATTTAGATATCGCCAATTTGAATGTCTAAACTGTTGTAAAGTAACCAACGCCTGAAGCGGCGTTGGCGTAATACAGGACAAACGTACTCTTTTGAATAATCACCAGCTGCAACGATGCAAAAAGAGTTAGTTAAAGGACAATATTGGTGTCAGTCATTATCACATATGTGATAGAACTGGTTCAACACGCTCCAAATATAATTTTAACACAGAGATCATTGCTACGATAGATGCGTAATGAAGATTTCAAAAAACGGAAGTGACGAAAGCAAAAGGAAAACACGAGTTATCCTTCTACAATGACGAGTACAGATACACGGGCGAATTTCTGCTGACTAATAATTCCTTCGAAGACCAAAAGTTGTTATATGAGACTGGGGGGGGGGGGGGTATCTGACAATTCATAAAAATAATTGACTTACAAGATAAGAGAAATCGAAAAAAATAGAAAAAGTCCGTATATTACCATGTTTTTATTAATCCTAGAATGAATAAAAACAGGGAATTTACGGGCTATTTCTATTTTTCTCGTTTTCTCTTAGTGACAGTCAATTATTTTTTATGAATTGTCAGGATATCCTCTCACAGCCTCACATAACAACTTTTAGTCTTCGAAGGAATTATTAGTCAGCAGAGGTTCTCCCATGTATCTGGTATCACTCGTCACTTCAGTCAGTATAGAAGGGTAACTCGTGTTTTTCTTTTGCTTTCTAATCTTCCGTTTTTTTTAAGAATCTTCATTACTCATGAAGCAATGATCTCTGTGGTAAAATTATATTTGGAACCTGTTGAACCAGTTCTATCTTATATGTGATAATGACTGACACCAATATTGTCCTTTAAGTATGCGGGAACAGATTTTTTAGGAGAAAGAACCAAACAGAAGTTTGTATTTGCAAATGGTGGCGAAGGTGGGTATCCCAGTGGTTAAAGCGTTGAGTCAAAATGTCTCGTAGTTTGGATCACTCGCGTGTGCATGAAAATAAATAGCTTGCCTAATCTAGTAGGGTTTCTAGGGCTTCTCCCGTTTTCACCACTGCCAAAGTCCTACGCGAACGATTGAAATAAAGTTACATTATATTATGTCAATCCCAAAAGAATGATACGGTTTATTATGATAAACGTTAGCCAAATGTTCGAATCTTTTTAATGGACTGGGGTTATTGTTGCTATAACGGCAAAGAGATTCTTTGAAATAGAAATAGTTGATAATGTAAGCCAGTTAATTAATTACAGATTTAGAGATAAATCCCAAATGTTTAGGACCAATGCGATGAATTGCAGTTGCCTTTAGAATAATTATGGTTTGCGGAGATTGAAGAACATCTGAAAACAAAACATAAAAAGAATTTCTCGTGGCTCTTTGTTTGAAAAACTCTCAAATAGTTTCAGAATATATAGATGAAAGTGGTTTATAATGGGGGTTTAATATCACCGGTAATAATAATAATAATATATAATTGAAATAGATGGATATTTGAGTGCATTTGAAATGAAATATGGTTTAACGTCCTCTGTTTCTGTAGCGAGCGCCCTATGGAAGACGGAGTTTGCTATCCTGGTCTCACCATGTCAATGGTGCATGATGGGGGACCTGATAAGGAGTAAACGCCCAGTCCTTCGGAAGGGACGACAAACTAACTTCCACCCGTGTACATATGGGAGTTTGCGTAAAAACCCGCTGTAGGACAAGCAAATTTTAAAAAAAACTCAAAACACCTGACTTCTTTTAATATAATGCGAAATTTAATAACTATAAAGGCCACTGCTTGAGGTCATGGGTGGTCTTAGGTTGGATTCAGTTGCAGAAAATCAGCCTTAAGAAGCTTAAAGATCTCATTTTAAAAACGTGACATCGTAAACGA